AGGGCGAAGACGCAATTTTCTGAAGGGGGTTATGGTTACAGTTTTAAGAGACGCTTAGAGAATTCTATGTAAAAAGGGGTCAAAACGTTTGTCGGGATCCGGCGAGCCAAGGTCCGTAGGAAAGCGTTGAATTTCAACACAATTCTGGGACGTTATACAATAACAAAATTATATATTCGAAACTGAAGACGAATTTGTTAGCGCATTTGTTAAGAATAAAAAAAAATGTGCTATTGTTTGCGTTTTGTCCGTCCGTTCGTCTGTCCGGACCCACTTCTGCAGTTTCGAACTACATCTAGCCTATACCTTGAAGGTGTGCCAGACGTCCATCAAATTTCGCTGTCTAAAAGGCCCCCCGCCCCCCCTCGAATTATTTCTTGAGATGCTGTTTTTGAAAGTAAAACGTGCATAACTTTTACACACGACAACCAATTGGTCTCAGATTTTGGTATATTGGTGCCAAGGTAAACTTTAGGAAATGAGGGGGGGGGGGGGTTAAACACATGTTCTACCCTTCATGGTATTTTAATGAAAAGTCTCATCGAAAGAAATTGGTTTGTAGAAACTATAACTTTCCCGTGCGACTCTTTTTCGAGATCAGTGAGCAACAGGGCCTTAGGGGGGGGGGGCCGTTTTCTACCAACTACTGCCCTTCTGTCTGTCCTCTTATCAAGGTACGGAGCGGAGGGGGAGGGGGGGGGCTGTAGAACTAGTTTTATCCTTCATGGTACTCTAATGAAAGGTCTCAACGAAAGGAATTAATTTCTACTAACCATAGCCCTCCTCCTCGACCTCTTATCGTGATCGGGGGATATATTATCCCTTATAACTCAAGAACGGATTGTCGGAAGAGGGTACTCACAAAGAGCGATTGAGACGTCTGCAAGAATTATATCCATTGGTGATGTCAAAACAAAAGCTATTTCGGTTAAAAAAATGCGCTTTATCTGTACAAGAGTTGTGCACAATTTATACTTCTTTTAACTCTCATATAAAGAAGCCCAAGAACAATTTTTATCACCCCCTTGCGCCGAAGCTGCCGCTTAAACTGAGAACAGAAGAGGTCGTTTTTCGGAAAACTAACTAGATTGAAGGTCCATAGTGGGTGCAGGAGGAAAGTTACAAAAAACGCTCGCGGCCCCGTAGGCCCGTACGGAGGTGACGTGACGCGAGGCGAAGCGGACCACATGTAAATCTTTCTGAATGCGCTTTTCGGGGATGAAACGGTTTTCCATTTGGGAGAAATAAGAAATGGCATTTTGGGTACGGCTGGGATACCGAACGGGACGCCCTAACTGGGGAAACAAAAATGGGGGAGGGGGAGTATAGCAAGGTTCGGTTTCGGTTGAAGTATGCTCGCGGTGGGCCGGGAATCGTGGAGGGAACGAAAGGAAGGTAGGAGGTTTTCCTTCGGAGGTACTTTTTTGAAAATTTCTCAAAATCGGGACTTGTTCTTAAACTTTTACTGCCTTCAATACCGTGTGTCCTATTTTGGTAGACACTGCAGTGTATGTTTCTGGGCTGTTTTTAAAGAAAGCGACTTGCGGTTTTCGCGACCCTCTGTAACTTTGTTGTGAAACGTTTAATGCCACAAACAGAATGAATCTAGCTACTTTTGTTTCTGAGATACAGGGTGAAAAAGAAAAGTTTAACTTTTTGGGATGTCCTCATTTACCAAAAACTTTTTTTTTTTACTAAAACCGAGATTAAAAGAGTGGCAAATTTTTACGGAAATCTGCGGTCCCGAAGTGACGTTTTCGTGGTCTCATAGGAAGCAGTTTGACGAGAATAATTAATAGTAACACACCGAACAAAACATCACATATAAATTCATTCGCAAATTCAGAAAAATTATCGAATCCATCGAAATTAAAACAAGAGAGATCGTCTACAATCGATAGTGGAGTCCAATATACAGGGTTTCCCAAAAGTCCCGTGACGGCGCTAAAACATTTTTTTTTTAATTGCAACCCCTGTGGAGTTTACATCGCCATAATGTGACTAGCCTCCCGGCTCCGGTATTCATACGAATCCCGGTTTTACTACGACATCACGCTAGTGACGTCAGCGATGACCGGGATTATTATAAATCCCGGCGGGGTAAGTTATTTAAACATTTAAGATAGAGTTGATAGCATTATACACTTAAGTACGTAGGTACCTACTTTATAGGAGTATAATATTTATTCAAAATTGGTAACTACTAGAAAAATACAATAAATTCTGAACACATATACCTATATACGAATTATATTAATAGTGTGAACTGAGTTACTCGTAGATATTAATTATTTGTTCACGTCTTACATTCCAAACAAATCGATTCATTTGAACATTTTGGTATTTTCTTTAAAGTTGCACAGTTAACGTGCTTCCACCGGAGGCATGAAGCACACATAATGCAATCAGATTGATTTCTGATAATTTCTGAATTGCATAACACACACAGCCATTCGTTTTGCTCCCTTAAATTTTGGACAACTTGCCAAGCAGCACCAGAGAAAAAGTTACTGAAATATTAAACGTAAAACTCACGTGTAAACAATCACAAACATCGCACCAAGTTGTCAGCCGGGATTTATAATAATCCCGGTCGTCGCTGACGTCACTAGCGTGATGTCATATAGTGCAGCCGGGATTCGTATGAATACCGGAGCCGGGAGGCTAGTCACACCGTATTTTTTAATTATCATTAAAATAGGGCGAAAATCTCCAGTGTGAGATGCCTCAACCTTAGCAACGTCCTGTGAATATGATTGTCGATACGAAGCACCCTATACATCATGTTAGTTACACAAGCTGCCAACCGAAATCTGGTGGGATTACAGAAAAGGGGAAGAGAGCGAAGATGAGACGGATGGAATTTCTCGGAAAACCACATGTGTTTACCATTTCAAACACCTGCAGTCCAGTTTTTTTCCTAGAAATGCGTGAAATGCAGGGAATGGGCGATTTTCGGGTGGTTTTTAGGGGTGTTAGGAGATCAAGTTACCGCGTCGCTTGGGGCAGTCAATAAATACGATTTAACATGTGTGTTCATGGTCTTTTTCTTGTGACCGGCTTAAGTGTTTGCATGTGTCCCACTGTTTGCGTATCGTGCTTATTAGTCACTCTCAATTATTTCATTGCATTCCAATATACAGGGTGATTCCTATAGTACCTGCCACCGTTTGGGAGCGTGTAGGTGGTGCGTAGGGGAGTATTTTGATATAGGACACTTGGGGTCGGAAATCTAAAATAAGGGTGCCAGAGCCAAATTTACCTTCTGGAATTTCGCGCCTGTAGGTAGGCAACCCAACCGGCCGGCGGGGCACACGGAGCGATCTCAGGCGGCGATGTGTGGCTGACACTTGATCAGAATTTTGTTTAAACCCACGAAATCCTGTCTGCAACGACGCGTATCAAGTGAATAAACACTATGGCACGTTTTACTAACACGGAATACGCGGACATGCACTTCATGTACGGATTGGCAAATGGTAAGGCATTTACCAACGGGCGATCGCGATCACGGGCGCTAGTGGGCTGCGAAATAGGAGGAGGTCGGTGTAAACAAACTTTTCGAAATGGGTGCTTAAATGACCCAAGTATCGATGTGCATCACGAATCTGTGTGTAAAGTTAAGCCTCCGTCAGCTTACCTGCAATTGCCCTGTCTCGCACAGACGGAAGTGAACTTCTTGAAAGACCTGTCTGCAGGGTAACTGACGGTTTGGATACCGCTCAGCGTACGCTCGTCGTGCAGCTCGTGCGTTACCATTTGCCAATCCGTACATGAAGTGCATGTCCGCGTATTCCGTGTTAGTGAAACGTGCCATAGTGTTTATTCACTTGATACGCGTCGTTGCAGACGGGATTTCGTGGGTTTAAACAAAATTCTGATCAAGTGTCAGCCACACATCGCCGCCTGAGATCGCTCCGTGTGCACCGCCGGCCGGTTGGGTTGCCTACCTACAGGCGCGAAATTCCAGAAGGTAAATTTGGCTCTGGCACCCTTAATTTAGATTTCCGACCCCAAGTGTCCTATATCAAAATACTCCCCTACGCACCACCTACACGCTCCCAAACGGTGGCAGGTACTATAGGAATCACCCTGTATGTGTTTATTTGGGCTGTGAGTAATCAAGAGGGAAGTGTGCTTGTTTAGAGGGGATCGAGTTATTCAAGTTTACACGGGCCATGGTGAACCTAACACTAACATTTTCACTCGTTCCGAAACCCAACAACTTTAGCCCACGTCTACAGGCACCCCCCTGGGCCTGGGTAATCCTACCGCCCGGCGAGGCATATTTAATATCTCTTAGTTTTGTCTGATGTATGTGTTGTAATACCTGGGGAATGGCTCGATTCCATTTTGGTTACTCATGGCGTGTATGTTGTATTTACCCCGGTTCCGAGAGGGCTCAAAAGTGCTGTACATTAGATGTTAGCTGTATGCAGTTTGCCTAATTCGTAAGGTAAATGACGGAGTAGTATAGACCCTCTGCAGGGGCGCCGTATTGGTATTGGTATTAGCTTCAATATAATCTTAATCAGCTATTGCTTTTGGTGTTCCTTGCCCATAAGACGCCCTCAGTGCCGGCTGAGAACCCGGTTATTACACAACGTAGGTGTCCTACATGACGATCACGATCTTAGTGCACTCGGAGTGGCCCCTGAGTGACCGATTCTCACGGGAAATGTACGCGAGAATATTCAAATAAGCAGCCATGTTAGTTTGGCGTTCCCGCTACTACAGAATATGGTCAAATATTGGTCCTTTGAGCCGAATTCATTTCTTTTCGATTTTTTTCGCTTTTTTTAACATTGCATCGACGTCTCAACAAACCCAAACACAATTTACACTACGGTTAAGCAAAATTTCGTGTTTTTATAGATCTCTTAATCGTTAATCAACAAAAACGTCGATTTAGCTTTTATTATACAGATCTGGCACAAATTACGACATGTGGATGTTTTGGGACCATCATTTTTAAACTGAGTAAAAAGAACGAGACTTACCTCCACGTGATGTTGTTGTAAGGCCACTTCTGCCCCTGTATCGTAAATCTCTTCCGCCTCATATTGTGTGGCTCAATGTCCGGAACGCCGCACCGCGGTCTTTTCAAAAGCGTTTTCGTCTTTTCGTCCAACTTTCCCGTAACCGGTAAACCACTAAACTGCTGAAGTTCACTAATAGCCTGCCGCACTGACTCTTCCGTCCGAAGGGCACCAGCCTCCGCCGACATAGGACTCAAATACCCGAATTGCATTAAATAGTTTTGCTGCAACAAACAAACGAATTTCAGTAACGGAAACACTTCCATCTTTCTTCGGTCGATCTCAACCGGAAGAGGCAATCGGCCGTATTAAATCTTTTTCTAATTGCCACAATCATTTATTATAAAAAGAAAGCGCGAAGGTCAACGTTAACGGTCTTTTTGTTTCGCGAGTTTGTTTTCGAACTGGACACGTCCGATTGGAAAAAATTCATTGAGAACATTTTGTGACACTAAAAATAAAACGCGTACGAAACAATTTAATAAATATATTCGGTCGGTTGACTCATTTCGAGGCAATTACAATCAAGAGACAATTACGTTTATAATAAATTAATGGCGTCCACTTTTAATAGCCTGTCTCGGTTCTTTCTTCTTTCAAAAGGTTAAGTCTTTAAAGTTGAACTCTAATGGAGCGACACATACACAATTTAATTTCCGAAAAAAATGCTCCCCGTTCTTTCATTCATTTAGAAATTGTGCCTAGGTGTTTTAATGAATCATTTGCATACGCAATGGTTTTTTTCCCACACGTGACCCTTTCAAAAACAATACACAAAGGGAATATTACGAAGAGGGAACTCGCTGGATTCACAAAACTTTCTCAAAAATCAGAAATTGATGATAGGTCCTATCCTCAAATGGAATGATTTGGGGTGTTCGCCATCAAGAAATATCGGGATAAAGATAACCCAAAAACAAAGCCCAGACAGATTTATTCTGGCCTATCGTCAAAAATGTAAGATGGAGCTTGGACATCTATTAGTAAATATACAGGATGCCCGTTTTTACAGCTCCAACATGGGATCACGGTTATTAGAAGAGATGCAATGTAGTTTAAATTTGCGTATTTTGGTTCCCAATAATATTCCATTACGAAAATTCAGATGTCTTCAGGGGCTGCTGAGATTTAAAAAAAACGGAAATTTTCAATTTTCGATTTTACCTTTTATTTCGACAAGAAGTTCTAAACTCAAACGCAAAATTATTAAAGCACCTTTTTATGAGGAATCCAAATATGTTATCAAAAAATTCAAGGCACTCTAGACTTGGAAGAGACAGTGCTTTTTTATTTCTTATGACAGCCATCTTGGATTTTAGCATTTTTGAATAAAATTTCAAAATCTCAGAAGCGAAATTATCTGGTAATGGTTGAGACTCCACTTTAACAAGATAAAATCTTTTCAATTAAAAATAAATTGTGCACTTTTGGGCAGCGATAAAGCGCATTTTTTAAAAACCGAAATAGGTTAGTAAATAGTTTTTCGTCGTCGACTTACAACTTCATTGAATTTCGACTTTCGTCGACGTTCGACTTTCGACTTCGTGAATACTCTCCTCCGGCAAACCGTTTTCGAGATATTCGCTCTTAAAGTTTTGACATTTCTTCCAGACGTCCCAATCGGGGTAAGGGGTAAGAAAGAAGTTGGTAGAATACTGAAACCTTTCATTAGAATACAAAGATAAAATCAACTTCTACACTCCCCCCCGCAGGAGTGGGTCCGGACGGACGGATGGGAAAAATGCAAACAATAGCACATTTTTTGTTCTTAAAAAATGCGCCAAACAACATAAGAGCGCGTCGACTTTCGACGACTTTTGACTTTCATCAATTTTTGACATTCGTCGATTTTCGACTTTCGTCAATTTTTGAGTTTCGTCGACTTTCGACTTTCATCACTTTTGACTTTCGTCGATTTTCGACTTTTGTCGACTTACAACTTTCGTTGAATTTCGACTTTCGTCGACGTTCGACTTTCGACTTCGTGAATACTCTCCTCCGGCAAACCGTTTTCGAGATATTCGCTCTTAAAGTTTTGACATTTCTTCCAGACGTCCCAATCGGGGTAAGGGGTAAGAAAGAAGTTGGTAGAATACTGAAACCTTTCATTAGAATACAAAGATAAAATCAACTTCTACACTCCCCCCCGCAGGAGTGGGTCCGGACGGACGGATGGGAAAAATGCAAACAATAGCACATTTTTTGTTCTTAAAAAATGCGCCAAACAACATAAGAGCGCGTCGACTTTCGACGACTTTTGACTTTCATCAATTTTTGACATTCGTCGATTTTCGACTTTCGTCAATTTTTGAGTTTCGTCGACTTTCGACTTTCATCACTTTTGACTTTCGTCGATTTTCGACTTTTGTCGACTTACAACTTTCGTTGAATTTCGACTTTCGTCGACGTTCGACTTTCGACTTCGTGAATACTCTCCTCCGGCAAACCGTTTTCGAGATATTCGCTCTTAAAGTTTTGACATTTCTTCCAGAGGTCCCAATCGACCTTTGTGAGTACCCTCCCTCCGGCTTCTCCGACAATCCGATCTTGGGATATAAGGAATTATATGAACCAGTTCCGCCCCCTCCCCAACCCTCTATTGTGATAAGGAGTAAGAAAGAAGGGCGGTAGTTGGTAGAAAACTGAAACCTTTCATTAGAATACAAAAATAAAATCACCTTCTACCCCCCCCCCCCCACCCCCACCCCAAACCGCAGAAGAGGGTCCGGACAGACGGATAGACGGACGGGTAAAATGCAAACAATAGCACATTTTTTATTCTTGCAAAATGCGCTAAACAACATAAAAGCACGTCGATTTTCGACTTTCGTCGACTTTCTACTTTCGTCGAATTTCAACTTTCGTCGACTTGACTTTCGTCGATTTTTTAGTTTCGTCGACTTTTGACTTTCGTCCATTTTCGGACTTTCAGCTTTCGACTTTCGACGGCTTCCGAACTTTCGTCGACTTTGGACTTTCATCGACTTTTGACTTTCATCGACTTTCGTTGTGTTTTGTCGACTTTCGACGACTTTCTACTTTCGTCGAATTTCGACGTTCGTCGATTTTCGACTTTCGACTTTCGTCGACTTCTTACTTTCGTCGACTTTCGAATTTCATCGACTTTCAACTTTCGTCGACTTTTGAGTTTCGTCGATTTTCGACTTTCTTCGTGCTTCATACGACAAAATAAGCCAAAAAATGAGCATTAAAATAAGATACAACCTTTGAAGCATATGAATAGTAATAATAATAAGAAGAATAGAATACCGGCCGTAGCGACCGTCCGATGCCGTTCTATGTGCGCGTACCTAATGTGCATTTAATTTTTCGAATTTTCTTGAAATAGGTAACGTAGACATTTTTGAGGTTTTAAGATTTTAAGGGTTAGGTATCAGTTTAGACATTCCTCAATCATGTGAAATCTATAGGGTGCAAACATTAAATAGCGAATTTTTCAATAAATTAGATTTGGCGGAATTTAAAAGGTCCCTGAGTAATTGGTAGTGAAATTGAAGATCGTTGAATCGTATTTTCGATTGAACTGAGCATTGTTCTCGTAATTAGTTTCGGAAGCCTAGGCAACGAGATTTCGGGAATTTAGATAATATTCGGGTTAACTGGTTACAACCACTGCATAAATATGAGATCACTCGGTGGCGTGAGATTTGCAAGTCTTGCATATTTCAGAAAAAAAACGTGGGATTTGAATTATTACCCTAGTTCTGGATTGATTCGTATGGCGGGATTTAAGCAACGAATTAACGATTAAAGTTGTCGGTCTGCGTTAATACGTCATCATTTTGTAGGCATTCATTAATCAGTAAGATATTAAGGGGGGGGGGGGGGACTTCTGAATTACCTACGGGCAGCATAGTTTATTTTAATCCGGTATCGAGTAACTAAAAAACTCGCGAAATATCGATTTGTGGGAAAGTAATACCGAAAAAAGTTTTCTTGGAAACGTATCTAATCTTTCGTCCGCGAGAACCAGGTTGCGGTCAAGGACAAACTAATTAAACGCGCCATTAAATTTTTGTTATGTTGAGAAGAGTTACTGTTAAATTCCGAATCTATGAATTTCTCACAGAAGTTTGTGCGTTTGTTAAAACATTCACGTAGGTAGAGCAGGCGAGTTTACGTAAATATTAAAAAAAAAAAGTTTAAAACCAGTAAGAGGCCTGCTTATTAAACCTAAAGATGTATCATTCGAAAAAATATAAATAAAATAAACGTTCAGTTGTAGGTTCTCTCTATTTTATAGTGGGTGACGTGCTAAATAAGGGCTAGCTATAGACTGTAAATAAGTGAACATCTGCAAATTCTTAGCGAAAATGTTTCAGTATAGCCATTGAATAATAAATCTATTCAATGGTATAGCACAATAATGAGAACGGTCTACAGAAATTAAGACTAGACGTCGGTCGTCTGGGAATTTGTAACAACAAAATTGGACCTCTCGATAAGCATCGATCAGATTAAAACCTAATGGCACCCACTTACCAGATGCAAAAGTGCGAGATCTCTTGTAAAAAAAGGGACACAGATCTACCGCAAACGCCATCGGCATATTAAAGCATGGAAGACAACAAACACTACAAGAATACAGATGGACTTGTAGGTGGGTCAAACTATAAATAAATCCGACTAGAACTACAGCCAACGGGTAGGCCGCCGACCCTGTACATTGTTAACGTCACCCTAAATAGTTTATTGCTTCCCTTGCGATTTTGTGCCGTGAATGTTTAATTACCGCTTAAAGGTGGCGCAAATCATCCATAAACTTCGCGCTAGATTGGGAGATCGGTAGCCTTGCGCAATTATGTAAATTATCTCGAGAGTTATCTTGTAACAGTGTAATTTTATATACATTCCTTACGGCATAATAAAGCGAAGGACGTTCTTTTTCACGCCGCATTAATTAAGAATATCTTTGTTGTTTCTCGCGAGCTTCCCTTTTAATAACGTCCGGAACTGTCTCTTCTATTGTATGGAGTGGTAAATTTCAGCCTGCGATAGCATATTAATTGGCAAAGATATTAATTAAGTTCAGTGCCTTTGAAAGGTCATCCGACACTATATGCACGACTTTAAAATTCTGAAAAACTGAAAAATTGGGGGGCGCAAATGAAGGTTGCCGCCGGCCTGCGTGGCGCAGTGGAGTGAAAGTTCGACTGCGGTCCTAAGGGCCTCGGTTCGAATCCGGGTTCGGGCATGGATATTTGTAAATGTATGGTTTGTTGGGTTGGTAGAGAAGCCCCCCCCCCTCCCCCACTTAAAATAAAGACAATTACATTTAAAAATCAAAGGTATTCGGGGCGCAAACCAAGCGCAAACGACCACTACAAAAAAACCAGATTTGAAAAATGGCGGACAGTATGGAATTTTGTATTTGGAATAACTGAAAAACAGAGGGGGCGCAATCGGTCGCTTTGTGAAAAAATAACTATTTGTAAAATTGGGGGGGGGGGGGGGGGGGGGAGGGGGGCAAACATGTAAAGCAAGGTTTTTATTGCAAAGTTTAATCAGTAGGGGTTATTTCTAATGCTTAATAAAATAAATGCATTACATATTACAATATCAAAAGATTGTATTACCTACATTTTGAACTGTAATTTTATAATTTTTCAATTCTTTTGCAGGGTGTAGTTGAAAACTTATAAATAAATGATAAAAAATCAAAACAGTAAAGAGTTAAATCTTAATTTAATACCACTATACAGGGTGTACCTAAATATGATGTACAAAGTGGAAAGGGCTAATTATTTGGATTATTTGATGACTAAAAGCGTAAAAGTTCATATAAACGTAGGTCCGCAAACGCTTCGTTACCGATCAACAGGGTGTGATAATTTTACGATTTTTAAGGTTTTTACTTTTTCAAATGCCAACTGTCAACACTAATAAAAACCAGAGATTATCCAAATAAAACCAGGACGTACTGGTCATTTTAAAAATTTCACTTTCATTTACGGAAAATTTTATTCTTTTGTCGATAACGGTCGCACTCGCAGATACTAAAACAATACAAGAGACTTCTAAAAAAACCAGAAAATCAATTTCTCATTTTACAATCTACCAATGATTTAAACCCTTCAGCGTAACATGTACTCCAAATTTTAGCTAAATATCTCAAAAACTGGTGTTGATTACAAGCTTGGCTCTGCAATTTATTTTATTTTATATTTATAAACTCTCTAGAGTCTAGACGGTCTAAAAGCTCCCTTTAAAATCTCCACAAGTTTTCAAATGTCTTCCTAGACACTCTGGGCCTTAATTATTCTAAAACTGTCTAGGACTGAAAATCCTTAATTTCCAACCTTTTATGGGTCTTTAAAGCTGCTTAATAGCCTTTAAGAGCCACATAAAATCTCAAAGTACTTCAAACATTTCAAAATCTTACGAATTTTAATATTCTTTAAGAGACTTGTAAGGTCTTCAAAGACCTTGTACAGGTTGTCCCATTAATACAGGCTTAGTGTAAAGAATAGAAACAGGTCATAGGCTATATCTATGGAACCGTTAATTGGAAAAAATTTTGTTAACAAAAGAGGCCAAGAGAACGCACTGGAAATTATTTGTTTCCGAGTTTGCCGCTAGAGGGCGTACGATTCATGGTTAAGTTGACTTTTTTCCTAAAATATACCTAACAAACATGCATAAAAAATACATGCATCGCAATCTTGTATTAATTTTGCATCATTTTGATGCAGCACATATTGCTATAACTCATTAAATATGAGGGGTGGGGGAAGGGGAACATTTGTCGTAACTTCGGTTTACATTAACCGACTTTCACATATTATAGGTCTTGTTGGAAAGAGTTCTCTTCGTGGAATCGGATTTTAGATGAATAGAGTATTTTTAGTAAATGTGATAAGTGGTAGAGGGCGCGATGTGACATTAACATATACTTTGCAGGTTTTTTTTTAAATTTCAAACGGAACCATATAATTATTATATGATATTAGCAAATAAGATGAAAAAGTGAGAATATCAATGAAAACCGCATTTTGATATCTGTTTCCTAAGCAGAGATATGGAAAAAATACGAACATTCACAAACTCTAATTTCTCTCATTTTCGCAATATATCTGCTTAGGAAACAGATATCAAAATGCCCTTTTCACTAATATTCTCACTTTTTCAAAATAATATATAATAATTATATCGTCCCATTTGAAATTTTCAAAAAAACCTGCAAAGTATATGTTAATCACGCCCTCTATTACTCATCACATTTACTAAATCCTTAAATAGTTATTCCTCTTCCCCCACCGCACGTATTATATGAACTAGAGCAATATGTGCTGCATCAAAATGAAGCAAAATTAATACAAGATTGCGATGTATGTATTTTTTATGCTTGCTTGTTGGGTATATTTTAGGAAAAAAGTCATTTTTCTACTTAACCATGAATCGTACGCCCTCTAGCGGCAAACTCAGACACTTGAAAATAATCCGCTACTTGCTCTGTGATGTTTTTTGACAGAACCTGGATCTAGAAAATATAGACTACATTTGTGTTATAATAGCATATTTTTAAAGATATTATGTACAGGGTGTAACAATAAGTAAAAGGACACATTTTTCCAAATAAACCAAATATCGCAGTCATATCGTGTTACCCAGACCTACCCTTAAAAACCCATAAAGATACTCCAAAGCCCTCAAAGGTTCTATTCATGAACGGAGAAGAAAACTTAAGGAAGTCTAGAAAATGATTTGTAAAAGCTCTAAAAAACTTCTCAAATTCTTCAAATGCTCCAAAAGCCCCTAGAAGACCCTTGAAGTCTCTTTAAAACCTGTTAGCGAACCATAAGACTTTAAAGACCATGACATGTACTTAGAGAGCCTTGCTACTCGTAATGGGCTCTAAATACGGATATTTAATACTCTGAAAAATATAATTAAAGACTCTTAACGGCTTTTGAAGGCTTCTTGAAGGCCATATATACTATTGCGGACTCTTGGAGAGAGTGATGAATGCTCTTAAATGCTCTGAGAGACTACCAAAGGCTTTACACTGTTCTTAAACACTATATAAAGATACCGTAGATGACTTTTGAGTTTTTTTTAAAGACCTTTGGAGGCGTTTAAAGACTAAAAGCCTCTAGAAGGTTATTGGAGGCACTTTGTCTAAACTTTTGAAGACTTGCCCTGGCATTTCTCCAGTTTGGGTCGTGGACTTGGTAAAGGGGATTCCTACGGTTACGTCAAAATTCTTGTTCTAGCTTCATTTACAATTGAGTGGTTCTTGTCTTGGCTAAAGTAACATGAGCGCTTGTCCTAAGTTCGTGTGATTCTTGTCTTGGCTAGAGTAAAATGGGTTCTTGTCAGTACTAAAATAAAAAACTCGAAAGTTCTGAAACGAATTTTCCTAAACTTTAAACAAATCAGTTTTTGAGTCAAAATCTGTTGTGTCTTTGAAAAACATTTTACGGTGTAGAACTCTTTTTTATGGTCCACTTATGCCATCCACCATCCTGATTGTGCTTATTGATCGGAGCGATTGGTGAGGGTCAAGCTGTATCAGTGTTTGTGTAACTTTAAGAACGTACTATTTAGTATATACAAGTTTTCAAAAGTATTCAAGATTTTTATACGGGCGGATCTTTTAAAAGGGTAGTTCAGCCTATTGTACCACGAAGTTTATCACTTTATTGATGGTGTTATAAATTTCAGGAAGAAACAGTTATAATAGTGTAGCGAATTTTCTAGAACGATATCAAGGCGCCATCAAGTCGATAAAGAATGAGTCAAAGGCGATAAGAAATGAAAGCGGATGTCACGCATTATTTCCATGCCTATTCAAGAATTCTATAGAAGCTTTTTGTTTGCTATATAAGCAAATTAAGTTCAGTTCCAACATCGATGTGGAAGTGATAAATAGTGAAATTCGCGCTCGTTTTGTAAACTTACATGTTATAAATTTGAGGACACGTAAGTGATAAATAATCATTAACTGTAAGTACAAATAAATTTATTAATAATTAATTGTCCATAAATAAATCACCCAGTTAGTTACACGTTTTACAATTATGTAAAAATGTTAAAAGAATGAAAATCACTGCGAGTGCAATATGTTTCTATTACACATACTTCCTCTACCCGACGATATGTTAGAATTGATCATTATAAAAACTTATAAATTCTAGTTATCATTTTATTAACAATCGATTGACTTGCAATCAAGCAATTGCGTACATAATTCTCGATAAGGAGGTGTACATAGCAAAAGAAAAATGATCCTACCTACATTACTCACATTACCAGCGATAAGGGGCATTACCCATAGATTACCACTAGAAGTGTCTGCTTAAATAGTTGCACAAGGTACTCTCTCCGTCATTTCGTCGTACCAACCAACTGAAACCACTGAAAAATGCGGACCATAATAGCAATCATTCTGGCATCGGTAAGTGGTAATTTGGTAAAGGGGTAACTAAGGTTTCTTTCAGTTTGTTGCATACGCAGCGACTCAAACCGCATCCTGGTGGCCGAGGCAGACCACCCCAAATTACGCCACTTTTTGCAAGCAGGTGGGGTATACTTGTAAAAACTGCAAAGAGGTTGTCATCTGCATACAATATGGTAATCGCTTCTCGGAGTATCCCATAGAGTCGTGTGGTGGCAACAGCACCTGTTCAAATGGCATATGCACTATTGGTCCAAACCCAAATTGCGACCCAGTGGATGAGGTGAACAATGCTACCTTCAGATGTCGTACAACGGGAATGTATCCAGATCCATTCGACGCTCAGCTCTTCCACTACTGTGTAAAGGCAGATTATCCAAACGAGAAAGATGAAGTTTTGGACCACTACGAAGAGCGATGCGATTGTGATCACGTCTACAATCCAAGAACGACATTTTGCGATAGACCAATCAGTCGCGACAACCGCAACACTTCGATTCCCAAGTGCAAGTATCAGGGGGAATCTGGATATTTAAAAGAAAATCCGAGCTTGTACTACATTTGCCAGTATCATTATGAGTCTTTGTATCCGTTCCAATATAAGTGTGACAATGGGAAAAGGTACAATCCATATCTGTACCTGTGTGAATACATAAACTAGTTCATTATTCATTACTCAAATAAATAAAAAATTATTGCATTTTGAATGATGACTCGATATCTGTCTCTGATTGTGTCTAGGGATAACCGCCTTGCCGTTATTGTTATTGGCCCCTGGCACACTCGGATATCCCTATGATGTGACGGCGGGAGCTCCTGATCCCTAAGTGACCCTATTCTCTCGACATGGTGTCGACCCAAGACGAAAAGGCCTTAAGGCCTCATGGCTAACATAATCAGTTAGGGGGGTGATCTAGACTTGACGGTGTTGCAGGGAGGGCAATGATAAACCGGAATATACTCTTATGCCACCGTTCGATGATTTTAAAGAAAGGCAAGATTACAATCGTAATAATTGAGATCTGAGCCGTCTGACCAACAATTAGTCCTCATTTAATTAACTGCCACCCTTACAATTTTAATTATCCACCCCCTCTTAAGCGACACCGAACATACTTAATACAGGGATCTTTATTTACCTATTTAATGGCCGTGCGTGCGATCGAATCCGCCATTTTCGTTAAAATAACGGCCTGTTACTTACAAGCGATTTTATGTTGCGTCGTAAAGAGAACGTACTTATTTATGTAAACACAATTTAATAGTTTTTCGAAATTACTCTCTTTAAAGAGAGCCATAAGCTTATAATTAATAAGGCAGATGATCGAGGAGGGAGTAATGTACGAAATGCGGAGGAAATATAAATTTACGCTACGTGCGGGAGGCGCCAGACGTAAAAAAATTAATCGGGCTGTACGTGACAGTGTGTTTATTCATCTGCAAATTAATCTCTTCTGGGAAATTTGTTTCACTTTTTGCACTATCATAAAGTACGCGTCTTTTAGACAGTAATTTGTTCCGGGAAGGTGTGTAAAAGCTTAGTGTAAAGAATAGAATACACTATGGTAAAAGTAATACTGAGGAGTGAGGAGCTATAGGTACCTATTTTTTGGTATTAGTTTCGGAAATGCATTCTACATTTTCCGACATTTTCATGAGATTAAGCAATTGATAGGTATGAGTTATCGAGACGTCTTTTGCGGTTATAAGTCATAAGCGTATAAGTATAAGGATGAGATGTTGGAAATTATGAAACGGAAATCTAAACGACATTCCTAACGTTTATGCATTTATGCAGTCTCATAGTGAGATCGTACTTGATTCCGGTCTAGAATCGTATGAAAAGTATACGATTGTAGACCCCTTATAGTTAAAAAATTGAATTCATTCAAAGAATATTTTAATTTAATCTGACAATACAAGTTCAAAAGAAAGAAAAATCCAAAATTTAAACGACAAAATTTTGCTCCATGCCAATTTACAATATTGAAAGACAAGTGTTACAATGCGACCTATTGTAATACGACTATCTTGTGCCACGAGTGGCGTAGCGAAGCGCAGCCACGAGTGTCCACAAGATAGGAGTATTACAATAAAGCATTGTAACACGTGTTTTTCATACTATTTTTTCTATTTCGGGGCTTTAATTTAATTAAAAAGTAATGAAAAACTACAGGAAACTTTAGAATTAATATGTCTTGTAGTATTTATTTTTAAATATAATTAATTTTATGCAAGTTTGGTTGCCTATACCAATGGTACCCTTACCACAAATAACGTTAAATCAATTTATGAAACTGTGCGCATATACTTCGATAAGAAGTGGAAATGAAAAAGGAATGCGAGCGATCCACGAGAACGAGATCGAATATTGTATTTGGCGTACCAGATTGATACCGATTTTATTGGCCGCAAGCTGCCCACATTTTGTAGTAATTTTTTTTGTGTTTGAAAAAACCCTCATCGAGGTGAGTTGCGATCCTCTTTTTCACTAACAATGCATTCAACTACAAATATACGTTATTTCAGGTTTTTTTTTTTGTACTATAAGAAATTGAATTGAGCCTATATCCTGCACAAGAATAATTAGAGAATCCAGATTTTTACTGCGACAGAAACAGCAGCGTTTCTTTTCAACACTGTCTAATTTCCAATCACCGAATCTCACGCCAACATTGCGGATGGTTCAACTCCAACTTCACAGAAGATAAGATAGCGACTCAAAAATAAGGCGAGTTCGTTCCATTTTTTTTAGACGGTATCGTTTGCTAAATTGGCCCCGTTTTTTTTTTCTGTACAATAGTAAATAGTATCACCAATCTACTAACACTCTTCTTAGTATTAAAAAATTTCACATTTTTATACTACTCTAATTGATGTAAATAAACTGGTTTTTGTGTTACGGTCTCAACCCCGTAAATTTGTTATTATCATTAAGGTTGAGTGGCGCCCAGACGCCCCAGTGTTCAAGGGAACCGATAAGCCCAAGACCGACGATAGCTGCCGGCGCACGTAACAATTCCTTTTTTTTTTGGACTAAAAATTCAACTAAAAATTAAAATGTTACAAATGGCGCGCAACGTGTAAGGCCTTGAACGCAGGTGGCGGTTTATATGTATTAAATAATTTATTTTATTGGAAATTCCTGTAAACCAAGTTTGTAGATAACCAATTTAGCAAAATACCCGCTGATATTTTTGAGATTGTTGATGCGTCGTGTAAAAATTTTTTTGAGGTTTCGTTAATGTGTCCATTTATTGTTCAGTGTTGAAATCGCAAAAAAAAAAAAAAAAGAAATTGTGCAACAATAGGCATGGAGGACTTTAAGCCCTCACATTTGTTAATTGATGAAATAAAATATGAATTAAGAATTAGAGGAGTAGTTACAGATCGTCCAGTAGACGACAAGCGAAAAATTCTAAACAAATTGTTGGCTAAAGAAAGAGGTCGTCACTTAACTCATATTGATCCATTTTATGATTTTGGTCGTGAGCAGGATGCGATTAATAAAACGCTAGAATCCATTTCTAATTTAGTAACTGAATTTGAGGGGAATGAGATTGATTCCGCATTTAAGCGCGGCATATCACGTCTCAATCATGTTTCTGGTAGGATTTCGCGCATTCTAATTCCAGATGATGATGATGATCAACTGGAAAAAATCCAAAAATTTAAAAATGAATCATATGCGACTTGCCTTGCGTTAGAAGCGGATCTATCCGATAAGGCGACCGTTGGTAATGCAACCAATACCTTTCCTGAAATCGTGAACTTAAATAACACCATTATGGCCCAACCTACAGTGCCACCCGTAATACATACTAGTAATAAGGTAATTCCGGTTTATAAATGGAATTTGAAATTTAATGGTGATCCGCGGCAATTGCATCCTTTTTTAGAAAAAGTCTTGGCATTACACCAATCGCGTGGAGTATCAGAAAAAGATCTGGTTGCTTCTGCCGGTGACCTTTTTGTTGATAAAGCTTTTGTGTGGTATCGTACAATCAAATCAAAAGTTACCGAGTGGGATGATTTAGTCAAATTATTAAAGCAAAAGTTTTTACCTCCAGATTTTGAGGAAGAAATTTGGAATGACATAAAAGCTAGAAAGCAGGGCAAAGCAGAATCAACCACAATTTTTATTGCTGTTATGGAGACACTGTTTAGTCGTTTGGATAGATCTCCCGCGGAGGCAACGAAGATCAAATACATTAGACAGAATTTGCTACCTCAATATGTCACGCACTTAGCATTAACTGAAATTAATAATCTAGATCAGTTGGTTAATTGTTGCGAAAAAATTGAAAACGCCTCGTATCTTAAAAACAAGAGTCAAAACCAAGATAAAATCAATAGCTTTTCGTTTTTAGAACCCGAATTATTATACAGTAGTCAATTAAGTATCGATAAGGGTCCCAATTCTAAAGAGTTTCCGACAGCTACCAATAAAATTAACTTTAAATTTAAACCTAATCGAGTGTCAACAGTTTCGTGCAGCAATAACGCCTCTTCAGCTCAAACGAACAGAACTAAGGTCTTCCATAATTCAGAGATAGTATGTTGGAATTGCGGATTACCAAATCATACTTACACTTCTTGTAAAGCCAAACGGAGCACCTTCTGTTATCGTTGCGGAGAAAGGGACTTTTTGTCAACCAATTGTCCCAAGTGTAACAATCCAAAAAACTAGGTCGCTGGAATCGGTTGCCTGGCCGAACTGATTCCATGCGTATATCCAAAATGGCCTTTAAGTTTCCAGTTAATTCTAAAAGTATGTTTAATCCAGGTGATTGGAACAATTGGCTGCGAAAGGTGAAATCTTTTTATAATACCGATAGGGGAAATAATTATGGGGAAATTGCTCCTTTTTTCGTTACGCAACATCATGACAATCGCCCTTACATCCCAATTAAAATATTTGATCAGGAAGTGGCATGTCTCCTAGATAGTGGAGCTACTACCACTGTTATAGGTAGAGATGGTTTAAGATTTATCAAAGCACTCAAACTGTTTGCACCTCCGTATAAAATGAAATTTATTGTAACTGCAGATGGGTCGAAACGTAGGGCGTCAGGCGCCGTTGACCTCCCCCTTTATTTGCATGACCAATTTCATATTATTAAAGCACTGGTCGTTCCATCACTTCATCATGAAATCATACTTGGTAGTGACTTTTGTCGAAATTTTCAGTTAAAAATTGATTTTAAAAATAACAAATGGGAAGTTCAAGATTCAAATAAAATCTTGATGGTATATGATGATAAACCGAAGTTTTCTTTCCTCGCTAGTGACGGAAAGGAACTCAGTAATTTAAATGCAGATCAAATCAGAGTTGCAAAAAAAGTAATTAACGAATTTAATGAAATCGGGGATGAAGTAGTGTTAGGTAGGACGAACAAAATTCGTTATTCTATAGACACCGGAGATTCCAAACCCTTCAAGGAAAAGCAGTATGTACTTTCTCCATATATGATGGAAATCTTGAATAAGGAACTAGACGATATGTTAAGATTAGGTGTTATTGAACCCTCCAACAGCCCCTATTGTAGCCCTGTTTTGTTGGTAAAAAAGTCGGATGGCCAGTATCGTTTTTGCTTTGATGGTCGTCGACTCAATGAAGTCACAAAGCACGATAGCTACCCCCTTCAGAACGTCGATAGGATTCTTAGTAGTCTTCGAAATGCTAGGTACATTTCGTCTATAGATC